TTTTTTTTCCTGGTGTCATATCACAGCAATAGAAAATTAACAAAGGCATTTACTTTAAAACTTTTCATTTTATTATCATTAATTTGTCTGTCAGAATTCTAGTCAGGATTCTCTCAAGTAACAGAACTTATAGAATGAATCTCTCTCTATACATAGAAAAGGGCTTTATTAGAATGACTTATAGGCTGTGGTCCAGCTAATCCAACAATGGCTGGCTATGACCAGAAAGTCCAAAAATCCAGTAGTTGTTCAGTCCACGAGGCTGGATGTCTCAGCTGGTCTTCAGTACATACTGGAATATCAATGGAATAGGTTCTAATGCATACTGGTGAAGGAACAGACTTGCCAGCGAGGCGAGGACAAGCAGGCAAAGAGCAAAAACTTCCTTCTTCCATATCCTTACATAGGCTTCCAGCGGAAGGTGTGGCCCAGATGAGAGGTAGGTTTTCCCAGTTTAAAAGATCTGGATTAAAGGCATGTCTTCCTGCCTCAAAGATCTAGATTAGAAGTTGATCTTTCCACTTCAAACTAAGCAAAAGTCCCTCAGAAGGACTTTGGGGGTTTTAGTTCATTGCAGATGTAGTTAAGTTGACAACCAAGAATAGCCATCGAAGTATCTATGTACAGTATCTATATATTTGCATACCATGATGCATACGTGGAGGTCAGAGGGCAACTTTCATGAGTTGGCATATTTCCTGTCACTTTTACATGGGATCCTGGGGTCAAATTCAGGTGGTCAGGTGTGAGCAGCCGGTACCTTAACTTGCTAAGTCATTGCTTTTTCAAGGGGGCTGTGTGGGTGTGGGTATCAGTATGAATTAATAACCTGGGATTTTATTCTGTGTTAAAGCCCATTACTATTATCCTTTATTTCCTAAAACATCATAGATTTGGCTGCTGCATGTGGCATTACTCTTTACCTGTTACATATTCACCTGTTCATTTATTTTGGGGTGAGGGTTTATTCAACCAATACAATTTTTTTTTTTCTGGTACCCAGGTAACAGATTCTTGGTCCAGAGCTCTATCCAAGACTTTTCCAAGCCGGGCATGGTGATGCATGCCTTTAATCTCAACACTCAGGAGGCAGAGACAGGCAGACGTCTGTGAGTTTGAGGCCAGCCTGGTATACAGAATGAGTTCCAGAACAGCCGGGGCTACATAAAAAGGCCCTGTCTTCAAAACACCAAAAAACAAACAAACAAACAAAAAATCCTTCTCCAACTGTCCATCAAGGCCCTGCTGTCATCAGAGAGCACTTTTGGCAACTGGTACTCTTCATAGCTTATGTAGGAATCAGGGATAGATGGTGCCCAGTATTCAATGACAGAATTCTCAGAGTGCTCTTGCACATCTCCCTTGGGCCCTTGCCTTTAGCAATGGGAGAAAAGGTTCCTAGAACTCTTCAGAACTTCTGTCATTGTGGCGCAATTTCCCAAGGGACTCCTGCTTGCCACACAGTGACAGTGACAGGATTCGTTTCTCATAGTGTACAGTCAGTTGGTAGGTCTTTGGGTCGCTCTGTGGTGTTGTAATAGGAGTCTGTCATCTCCTCAGCAACCTTCCCTTCTTCTTTTGGTACTATGCCTCCAGTTTGGAAGAGGTGACCACTCCCTACCCCCATTTCTAGCTCATGTTCTAACATGTGAATATGGTGTGTCCCTCAAGTCTCATGTGTAGGTTTGGTCTCCAAGTGGAACCTTTGAGAGGTGGGCCCACTAGGAGCCCTTAGGTTACTTGGGTAGGGAGGATGCCACTGAAGAGTATTTTGGGGCCCTAGTCCATTTAGTTCCCTCTGCTCATTATCTAACTGATAGTTAGGAGCCATGGTGTCCACTACCACATCTTCTCGTCGCCTTCTGGCACCCGCTCCCAGATGCTAATCTTGGACTGGAACCTCAAAATGGGGCCAGAATGGATCCTTCCTCCTTATTAGGTAATCACCGCAGGTAGTTTGTAGAGACACAGAAGACTGACTAATGTAGCATGTGATCTGGAAGGGACTGGCCCAATCTGACCACAGAGATCACCAGGATCATTCAGAAATAGGCACATGACCTGAGCTGGGCCCCTGGGACTCAACACAAGGTTGATGCTTTTGGAAAAAGTGTTTTCCTGGGCTGAAGGCGAAGCTGGTAGACTGTTAGCCCAGCTTGCCCAGAGACCTGGGCTTGATCCCCAGTTCTGTGTAAACCACGTGTGGTCCACATGCCAGTCACCTCAACACTGGAGAGGAGAAAATAGCAGGGGAAAAGAGGAAAGAAATGAAAAATGTATTATTTTCTTTGCACCAGACTCACTAGTTACAAGGAACCATGTAATATGAAATTTCTGGGGTGTTTTGCTGCCCTGCTCAATGATCCTGCCGGAAGATGGGAAGTCAAGCCAGAGGATGGGGCAGAGTCTTGGCTGACATTAGTTTAGTCTTGATCTCACTAAGCCAGTACCCATCTACTCCTGGACATTTTAGTTTCGAGAGCCGAATAAATCATTTTTCTTTTTGCTGGTTTGATTCAGGGTTTGGTCATTGCAATGAAGGGTCTTAATTTAACCCAGTTCTTTTCAGTCTTAGCCCCCACTTCCCAGAGCTTCGGAGTCTCAAGGATTAGATCATGCACCCAGGCAGGGGGCCGCAGCAGCCAGCCTCATGGCCAGGTGTGTAAGGAGACGTGACATGACTGCCACTCTGGCTGCTGAGAGCCCTGGCGGCTGATCTTCTGGGCTTTAGCTAGTTTACCAAAGCTTGCCTGGTTTCATTCAGTTTTGTCTTGTTGTTGTTGTTGGTGGTGGTGGTGGTAGTAGTGGTGGTAGGGTGTGTGTGTGTGTGCGCGCGCACGCGTGCTTCTTTCTCTTAGCTTGCTAGGTAGCTGTGAGACTCAGGATTAGTGTAGACACACACTTATCCTATGCAGCTCACCCCCATGTCTTCTCTCCCCTCCTCTGACTCTGTGTGACTTAAGGGTCCCGGGCATCTTGGAACTTTCAGCATCCTGGATAAGAAACAGGGTGACGGCAGAGTGACCAGAAATCTGCACTAGTTTTAATTGACTTCATCTGCTAGAGTGGGGGTATGTCACTCACTGAATAACTTTATGTCACATGCCTATGCAAATCAGTATTTGTCTGAGCGCTGACAGCCTTCATCCTTGTTTTGTTCCGGATGCAGCAGCAGAGGCCAAATGTGCCGTGTTCTCTCTGGTGACGGCTGCCAACTCTCCAAATGTCACAACAGGCATTTCACATGGGAGCAAGTGCCGGTGTTGAGGGTGGCCAGGAAGCGCCTATGAGCTTGTTGTTTGTCCCTCTTTATTTTTGTAATACACTTGAACTTTATTGAATTGGTAGAAAATCGTTCTTATCAGTCAATATAGAGGAATGAAAACTTGTTTTTTTCCTCGTCCAATCCTGCTTTTTTCAATAAGCAATGTAACTAAATTCACGTATTTTTTATACTTTTCTATGTACACATTTTCCCATATTTTAAAATATAGGCTACCTCTCTTAATTCTTAATACAAAAAACTATAATTTATATATATATATTATATATATACATATATATATATATATATATATAGAGAGAGAGAGAGTTTGTTTGTTTGTTTAGAGAGAACTAGCCCAGCCCAGCCTGGAATTCACAGAGATCTGTTTGCCTCTGCCTCCTGAATGCTGAGAATAAAGGTGTGTGCCACCACACCCAGCACTTAAAATTTTTTTTAAGCTAATAATTACCATTTTGGGGTCACTGTTTATAGATACTGTCTTATATTTGTGGGCATACCATGATATTTCTCTAATTGATCAATGAGTTTTTCCAGGTAGTTTATAGCTTTTTTTTTTGATACTTATATCAATACTAAAATAACTTTGTAACTGTTATCTTTTATGTTCAAGGAAATATTTGTTAGTTCTACTCTCTTGGTTCATATACTGTGTAGTGGGTAGCTCTTCCAGCTTTAACCTGGAGGTACTAACCCCAGGGAGGCTTCTGGTAACTGTCATGCCTACCTATGGCCTGCCCCTGAGGCGGGGCCAAGAAGGGAGCCCTTAAGACCTGAGACCTGGATGTGTGTCACCTCCCTTGGATCCTGGTTATCCTGGATGCTGGATGGTAGACTACTGCTGGACTGCACTTCACCTCTTCTGGACCCTGTAACCAATCCCTTTACTTGCTCTAAGTTATCCCAAAATAAACCTCCCTTTTAGCTACGTGGAGTTGCCTTAATAAATCCCCCAATAATACTATACCCAAAGGACCATTCCTACATCAACATCTCCTGTGTCAGTCAGCCAGCTACACAAGACATCTTCCTGACCCCCTCTCTAGGACATGTTTTTGTTTTTGATTTTTTGAGATAGGGTCTCAACTATGTAGACCTGGCTGTCTCGGAACTCACTTTGTAGACCAGGTTGACCCCAAACTCACAGAGATCCGCCTGCCTCTGCCCCCTGAGTGCTGGGATCAAAGGTGTGCACAACCCCTGCCTGGCTCTAAAGCATGTTTTTGGCAGAGCTCTATGGAACACAGAACTGACTGAAAAGGAGCCTAGCTCCAGACCTGATCTGACAGCCATTGTTCTGTCCTTTTTCCTTTGCCCTGATGCCCCGAACATCTCAATGGCCTCCATCATCAGTGACGAGGTGTTATTGGGGTGAAGTGCCTTTGAAGTCTCTAGATAAGTGAGATAATAAATCTCTGCTCTCCAGGGATGCAGGGAAGGGTGTGAGACTATTGAATGGCCTCAGCAGCGCTGTGTGTGTGTAGTAACTACTTAGTAAATATGAATAAGAATAATCAGTGCCGTGCCAGAAGACTCTCTCTGAAGGGTGGGTCAACTCTGAGCCATCTGAGAATGAATGGACCAGACAACTGAAACCCATACACGAACTCAAACCCGATCCTAAGAGTTAACAGGTTCAGGTGCTTTACCATCATTCACCACCCCCTAGACCCCCCCACCCTACCCCCCACTCTCCCCCACCCTCCACTGGACCGGCTAAAGTCAACCCTCTATTTTATTGGTTTCATTTCCATGGAAATTGAGCTGTGAAATGGCCACCAAGGCGGGTGGCTGAGGGACACATCATCAGCAATCCCATGAGTGAGATGATAACGTCTGTGATGTCTCAGAAGCAACATCTGAATCACTCGGGTCAGGGCTGCCAAAGGGCCGGGCTGATGAAGCGAGAGACTTCTGAGCTGGATGGAGCGAGAAGAGCAGGGATGGAGGGAAAGGAGTCAGATGAGTCGCCATCTAGGGCTGCCTGGCTGAGCTTTGCCTTCTAGGTTATTCATCCATTCCAGCTTTAAAACAGGCCCCTCCTGCATGGGGCTGATCTAAGTGCATTTTAGCGGGGACATCATCACGTCCCTGCTGGGAGAGAAAGGACCCACTGTATGCTCAGAACATCTTCAGCTGCACTTCGCTCTCGGCGGCGGCATTTGCTAGGGTCCCTTCTGCAAAAAAAACCGGCAGGGGTTGGATTGTAGGATTCCAGGAGTCCTCTCCTCCTGCTGCCTGAAGAATTCAGTCCGGCTGCTCCACGGTGGGGGTGGGGGGAGGGAGTGTTCAGCAGGAAGAAGGGACAGATGGCTCCTGCTGGACTGTGTTCAGAAATGTGGTGTGTGATATACAGCGTGAATGAAGTGTGGTGCCCTTTAAACACGCCACCCACCCCCTCCCCGTGCTGCTCCACTCTGCCTGGCTCGCTGGCTCTCATTCACAGTACATTGTCACTCTCTCACAGGCAAACCTTAGACACTTTTGCACCGGGAGCCTACACACACACACACACACACACACACACACACACACACACACACACCCCAGCCGACTCTGACACACGCTCTGTGACTCACCGCTGATCCATCAGCACGCACACACGGGATGACTCAGCAGGGACCCTCACAAGCAGACTTACCCTCGCTACAGCCTCTGCAGTGGTGGCAGGCCTTCCCGCCTCCCACACGGGGTCCTTGGTGGAGCGTCTCAGCGAGGCCTGCAAATGATTTGCATTCTTGGCTCCTCGGAACTGCCTGTTCTTTGTCTTGCGTTTATGGTTCAACCCTTTCCTTACCTTGTTCCCCTCCCTGGCTGGTTTTGGAACTCAGCAAGCAATCCCCCAGTCACTTGACCAGCCAAAGCGGCGGCTTTTGTTCCTAAGGAACTTAGCCTCGCACGAGGGGTCCTTTTCCCACAGGGTCTCATCCCTCCCTGACCTGGATATCTCTGCATAGCTTCCCAGAGCCCTTGCTGGGAAAGTCTCCAGTATTCGTGACAATGGTACCTTTCAAAACGAGGAAGGGGCTGAAGATGTCAGTCACACAGATGGGGAGCATAGGTACCTGGATAGAGGGTGGCCATGAGGTCTGAGGGCCTCAGAGGGCCTCCTTTCTTCCCAGAGGGCCAGACTGAGCAAGATCAGTTTTTTTCTGATGGTCAGAGAAGAGAAGGTGTTACATGCCTCTGTATGATGGACAGACGGCGGGCCTCGCTCCTGCCTGGACCTACCCTTGCATCGGTTCCAGGAAGAGGTGAGAAAGTCCTGATGCTATGGAGGACCTGTTTTCCTTCTCTCCCACAGGGTGTCACCGAAGAAAGGTGGCCACAGAGAAGAGCGAAGGAGCAGGCCAGTTGTGGCCAGGGGCTTTGGCCTTTGTCTATTTCTCCCACATTTTCCTGCCCGCCCCCCCAAATCAGTACTCGAGCATGCAGCTCACTGGGTAAGTACTGTACCACTGAGCACTGAGCTGCATTCTTAGCTCACCTCAATAGCCCTGTAGCCCCACCGAGCGAGTACCCATTTGAGTCTGCCCCTTTGGTTATCAAATGCCCACAGACCTCTTTCAGTCCTTTTTTTTTTTGGTTTTTCGAGACAGGGTTTCTCTGTGTAGCTTTGCACCTTTCCTGGAACTCACTTGGTAGCCCAGGCTGGCCTCGAACTCACAAAGATCCGCCTGGCTCTGCCTCCCGAGTGCTGGGATTAAAGGCGTGGGCCACCACCGCCCAGCAGGTCCTTTCTCAAAGATGTGTTTATGGGAGCAGATAAGACCAGAGTTGCGATCAGGCCTTGGGACACAAAGTGATACACAAGAAAAAGTAGGGAAAGATGCTAAGGACATGTGCTGCCTATGCTTGGGAAGGCAGGAGTGGCTTCCTGTAGGTCCCCCCTGACTACAGCCACCGAGTCCCAAAGTCCTGCTGGCCCCCTCCCCTAGCCCAGATGGCACTGGGCTAAGTGCTGTCCTGGAAGCAGGAGTGGGCTATCTACACCGAAATCCTGGCCGGGAAATGCTCCATGGGAGTTTACTGGTCTCTTACATCTGTCCCGTGATGTTTTATGCCTAGAAACAGAGGCACGCTCATGCTAGTTGCTTTTATCTCAGGGTTGAAATGGCCCTTTCAGCTCTAAAGTTTCGAGCTTGGTGGGTCTTGGTTGCACTTTTTCCTTCCTTCTGCTGGTTTGGAGAACGGTATCTTTGATTACGGTCGAGCCGCACTGCGGAGCTAGAATCGAGACGGACCCATCTTGCTTTAGTGGAGTTTCCTTTCACGTCCTCAGCCAACACACTGGGGGGATTTCCTCAAGGCTTCCCCGCAGCTGACCTTCTGCTGACTTGGGTTCAAGATTGCTTTGCCTCGAATAGCCGAGAACATCGTGGACATTGCC